TCTCTCTCTCTCTCTCTCTCTCTCTCTTTGGACTAAGGACGCGCGTCAATGGCGAACCAGAGTCTCGCCGGGGAACATTGGCGATCTACGACGAGAATATCTTGCCGATCGGCGCATTATCTCTGGGCTGGTTTCATGCCGGACACGTAGCGGACGCATGCCACGTACGTACCGTGGCCACATAAAACTGCGCGAGGCTTTCAGCGCCCTCGTGAGATCCACGATCTCGGGCACGTAGGATCCCCTCGGCGAAAAAACGTCTAGGAGCGGCTTTAGTGCGTGTAGAACGATGGACTTGCAGTGTGTACGAGGCTGGCGAGATGGTAATCGCGTGGAGTGGTGGCCGTCTGTGATGTTAGTCGTCGTGCACCGACGACCACCGATCGTAACGAGCCGATCCAACCAGGGGTTTTTCTTCTTTCGTGGGAATACAACACAGCGATACGCCTTCTACCTCGAGCTTACTTGAGTTTCTGCGGTCAGTTGAGCAGTCCTCGTGGGAGACGGCAGGCTGGAGTTCTGATTTTGCGAGGATTTCAATCAAACGTTTAATCGAGCTCGATGTGAATTTGCCTGGTCTCGATTAAAAAGCAGGTGATTTGACGACCAGACAGAAAATACGCCGACGTTCGTAACTTTCGTAAGAAGCAACATGGATTGTTGAGTGTCAATTGACTCGATTTGGACCGTCTCTTTCTTCGTCTAAAATAATTTTCTTCGAGAAGAAAAAAGAAAAAAGAAATTTCTTCGTCTAAAATAATTTTCTTCTTCGTACGTCGTTATTATAGCTTTCTATACACGTTCCTTATAATTATCAGATTATAAAAAGAGCTGTTGGCTAGATTTAAGTGTAATGTCCACTGAGAAGGGACAGCCGAGTTCAAAGGGTTAAATAAATTAAAAAGTTTCAACATTTCCTACTTTGAATACATTCTTCGAGAATGTACATGACAAAAACACACACACGGTAAAACACTTAAAAAGCAAGGAACTATTTAAAATAATCAATAACAGATGGGTATTTCGAAATTGCTTAAAAGTTGTAGTCTCGCCGTCAGTTCCGCAGCCAGCATGCTTAGACTTGGGTTAGTTAGTGGCCTGCGTAACCGCGAGGTCGAACGATTGTAAAATTTAATTAACCAACGAGCAAGTGGACTATGATGAGTGTTCCATAATGCGTAGCCGCGGGGCCACTAATTACGTGAAAATTATATACCATTTGGACGGTTAATTCGCGTCAATGGTATTACCACGGTCTCTCTCCTCGGCTCTCGCCTTTTCTACTTGTTACCCTTCGCGAGCAGTTGCACCAATCTCGCCGCAGGCCGAGATCCAGCGGTGTGGATTGCCCAAGCTGGTGCTGTCGGTGCATTTATCGGGAATTCTGGTCCCTGCGCGCCGACACTTCGTCGCGCGATAAAACCACCGGTACACGTGTTGCATAACGTAATCGAAACCATTATTGTTATAGATCTTCTCAACCGATACGAAACGACCGGCAATTTGCTCGCCGCGGCGTGACACGCTCCTGGATCTTTGATACGCCCTGCATTGACCCGATTTTTTTCTCCCATTTGGTGTTGCCCTCGCGACGCGTGTAATCGATTTGCCGATCGATTTTCGTACGTTTCAGGAAAGCGGTAATACGATTGCTCATGACAAATTCACACTCGCATATTTATT